GTAATTTTTTTTATAAAATTAAAACGTTTAATATAATAATTATGTTATATAAAAATGATATAAAAATATAATTTAAAATTTTATTAATAATTAAATATAAATTTAATAAAAATAAAAACTATATTTTATATTTTTATATATAAATAAATTATAAATTTTAATATAAATACGTCAATTTTAAAATTTTACAAAATATCTCCATCTAATAGTGTATATATTAATATTTTTTGCTAATTTCTTGGCAATTATCAAGAGAAATCTTAAAATGTCAAGTCAAGGGTCTTTCTTGGAACAGAAAGTCCTCTGGCAACCGACATCCTAACTCTCGGATATGTTTGAATGATATATGTTAATTAAAATATTTAAAATTTAAAAATTTAATTATTTTATTAAAAATAAGTTAATAAAACTCATAATTCATAAATTTTATTTTAATTTTTAATTTTTAAAAATTCCAATTAAATCTTAATTGCTTAAAATTATTTAATTTTGATCATTTTATCTATGTAACAATCTAAATTTATAATCAATTAAGTCACAATATGACGTCAATAAACATCTTAAGTGACAAAAAAAACAAAATATAATTATCTCAAAATTTAAAGATCAAATATGAAATTATCTCAAAATTTTATATATTTTATGTAAATTTTATAAAATATTAATTTTAAAATTGTATTTTTATATTTTTTAATTTGTTATTTTTTGCTTTTTAATAGAAAATATATTTTTAAAAATTAAAATTGAAAAATACAAATTCATTTTTTAAAAATTCAATATTATTTAAAATTTTAATTATTCTCTATTAAAAATATTATTTTATTCATAAATCATAATAAAAAATATTACTTTGTATCCAGAAAATAAATATTTTTCAATATATTAAATATCCTTTTATTTTCCTTTTTTAAATAAATATTTATAAAAAAATAAAAAATAAAAATAATTTTTTAAAATTACATATTATTTAAAAAATTAAATTAAATTTTCTATATTCATTTAAAAATTAAATAAAAACTCTATATCTATTTAAAATATTATGTAAAAATTTTCATCTAATTTTAAAAAATAAATTTATTAATCTATTCAAAAATTTAATTTCGGTATGAAAAATCTATTTTGAATCTATTTTTTTAACTTTATATTCATATAAAATAAAAAATGTGATTTATAAAATTTTTATTTTTTTCTTTTTTATAAACCTTCTTTTATAAAATATATTAAAAAAGGAAAATAAAAGATAATTTAATATTTTAAAAAAATTAATTTTTAGGATAGTAATAATATTTTTTATTATGATTTATGAGTAAAATAATATTTTTAATAGAAAATAATTTTTTTATTTTAAAAATGTATTGAATTTTTCTAAAAGCAATTTGAAAATTTTAACTTAATTTTAAGTTTTAATTATCTATTATAAATTTAAAATAAAAAATCTAACTAATAAGTTATATTATAAAAAATATATAAAAAAGTAATTAAAAATCATATATTTTTAAAAATATATGAAAAATATAAAATTTTGAGATAGTTTTATTATTAATCTCTAAATTTTGAACAAAAAAAAATCTATTTTGATCCTTTTTTACCACTTGGATATCTGTTAACATCATCATATGATATTTATTGACATTTACAGTCAATTTCAATGATTTCATAAATGAAATAACAAAAATGAGATAATTTTGAGTAATTAGAGATCCTATTAAATTTTTTTTAAATAAAAAATTAAAATAAATTTAGATTAAAATTTATGAACTAAAAGTGCCATTAACCCTTAAATAATAATGAAAAAAATTAATAATTTTTGAGGAATTTTAAGAGAAAATTTGAGGTTTTCAATTGTAAAAAAATCCATTTCAAGAGATGATTTTTTAAAATTTTTAAAATTTCTTTTTTCTTTTTTGTTTCAGATGATCCATTATAAAATTCAAAATTTTAAAAATAAAATATTATTTTATTTAATTATAATATATATTATCTTATTAATAACTTATATTCATCTTTACAAATCGAATATAACTCATGTTGTATTTTAATTATCTTTTCTTTCGTTTTTAATGTTATTAATTTTTTAAAAATTATTTTTACATCGTCAAATTTTAGTAATCATTTTTAAAAAAATTTATTGAAATAATATAATTATGAATACTGAACTTTTAGAGTAATACATTTTAAAATATATTCGTTTCAAAATTTTTATTCTGCATTAATAATTTTAACATTTGGGAAACGACTTTATAAAACCGTCTTTTTCGGGTGAAATGAAAAAAACGAAAAAAAGATAATGAAAGTGAAAAACAAAATGCTATGGCCATAAACCGACAATATATCCGGTTCTTTCTCAAATATGCAACTTGAATCAAACCAATTATTGGAAATAGCTTGGATTGACTTTACAGAAATTGCCAGAAGTTTTGGGAGAAAAAGTGGCAACGATCAAAGATAACGAGATCTTTTTTGTTTGATAAACATGTGGATTTAGTTAGGGACGGTTACAGATCGGTTCAGACAGATTTTTGGTCAAAGATAATGAGGATGTTTTTTGTTTGATAAATGTGTGGATTTTGGTTAAGGATGATAATGATCCGGATCAAACTGGATCATGCTGAGTTTTTGTTGATTTTAGATTCGATTTAATTTTATATTTTTAAAATTTAAATTTAATATTATATAAATTGTATTTATTTGATTCGATTTGAAATTAATAAAATATTATTTTTTAAATATAAAATATTATTTTTAAATATAAATATTTAAATATATAATTATATAAATATATAAAAATAAAAAATTAATTTAAAATTATTTTTAAATAATATCAAATCAGATCGAATTTATCTAAAATTTAAATATAATTTTTTTTTAGTATTATTCGATCCTATTTCAAAAAAAAAAAAAATTTAATAAAATTAAGTCGGGTCAAAACTATTGAGAGAAAACCTATTGAGAGTAGATTGGATTGTCCACCCAAGATTTAGTTTCCGGTTATTCAAAAAGGATCTCACCGAGTAACTTACTGATTGGCTAAAAAAACCTGTAATTTATTAAAAGAAAAAAAATTTTCTGATAATATTTGAACCTTCTTACTACCTATTCTTAAATGTTAAAATATTTACACGCGGAAATTGACAAACACATTAAGTTAACAAATCACGCTATTAGATTACATGAAACTTTCAAGGGTAGTTTGGGAAAGCTGAAAATGGTAATAGAGAAAAGAACTTTGACCCTTTGGCGGTTTGGCCTGGGTGAGCATCCAACATGTTTACCTGTATAAAAACAACCCAAAAATTCAAGCTAATTTACAGCTTAATCCATTTGTATTTATATCTTTTACCACTAAAAATCCAACTAATTCAGTTTGCGGTCTGTAATCACTAACCGCCATCAACGCAAAGTTCGCCGTAAAAATCTGGCAGTTGAGAGTGGACCCTACAAAGCACACGGGATTCCTTTGTTTGAACCATTGGGCCCTTCGCTGTTGGGGTCCACAGTCATACTGCCCCGCTGCCAAGCCCTTAGGCTTTACCGCTATTTAAGCAGTGCCACTTATAGAGGCTTCATTGCTCTTTTCGCAAAAAGCTCTAGACATTTCCTTTGTTTCTTTTATTTATTAGTTTTCTTCTTCAATTGTTTTTTGCTTAATCTTCAGTTAAACTAATCTATTTTGGATTCTCCATTCGAGTTGTAACTGTACTATCGGTTTTGAATTGTTTCAGGTTTCTCTTTCTATCTCTCTGTTTGTTTCCCGGGAAACCGTTCTGATTCCCGTTCTGTGTGCGTATTTTATTTTGTGTTTCTTGTTCTGCCCGTTCTTTTGGTTTTAAAGTTCTTTGTTCTTTGTCTCTTCGTGATCTACAGTCCATCACTATTTGGAGGTAATTTTTTTCTTTATTCACAGTCATTCTTTTCAAGCTGTTATTATATTTTTGAATGATTTTTGCTGGCTATGAATGAACCGTTTAGGACTCTTTAAATTTTGTTGTTTATTTTTTATGCATTTTCATTTTTTTTTGAAATTATCTTTTCAAATTCCTCATTCAATAACTTTTTTCTTATTTCTTTCTTGTTTTGATAATAGTAAGTAATAGAGGCGTTTAAGGCTTTTTTTTTTCACTAAAATTTTGTTTAACCTGTGTCTTGACTATAGAATAATGGAACACTTCCAAAACGACGATCTCGAATACGTTGTCGATGACTACTTCGACGTCGATGATTTCGAACACGACAGTCCCTTCGCTGAACCTGCGCCACAGAGAGACACCGCTGAATTTGACTACTTTGACTCCGACTTTGAAGACGATTTTGAATCAGTAAGGTTTTTTTTTTTTTTTTAAATCTTTCACGATTATGCTTGATTCTCAGGATTTAGATTCTTGAATCTGTAATTAACTTGTTTTTTACAAATATTTTTGTGGTTATTTGGAAACAGAGTAAGCCGAAAACTGATACATCAGCTGTGGAAGCAAGAAACGGAAAAGATATACAAGGAATTCCTTGGGAGAGGCTTAATTTCACTAGAGATAAGTACCGCGAGACGAGATTGAGACAGTACAAGAACTACGAGAACCTCTTTGGTTCTCGTGAAAATATGGAAAAGGTCAGTTTCTGTATTTCTTGCTAAATCTAAAGCGGTTTTTTTTTTTTTTACGTTAATTCTAACTTTGACATAAATAGGATGGGAAAAGCTGTTTATTTATCACCGTGTTCTAAGGGCATGTAGTTGTTTCCTTTTTTTTGGGCTAAATAATTAAATGTTCATATTGTGTTGACAGGAATGCTTGCAAGTAGAGAAGGGACAGGCCTTCTATGACTTTCAGTTTAACACAAGACTTGTCAAATCGACAATTGTGCACTTTCAGGTAGAGAATTTGCTCACTACCTTCATTTTTTTTACTACTGGTCCTTTTTTTTTTTTGCAATTTTGTTCCCATTTTAAGGCAGATGCATTGCATTTCTTTGTGTGGACATTTCCACTCTTCATCTTTCTTTTATGAATAGTCTGTTCAAGCAGAATTTAGTTGATTTTTAAAATGACATGTCCGTACTTTCAATGCTTTGAATGCATATCAATTTTAAATTCATTCTGCGCTTAGCTTTCGTGTCCTTTTTTCCATGGTATTTAAACGTACCTGCAGTTTATTATAGACGTGATATTTTGAGAGTTTTTGAATTTAAATTGTGTTATTTTTATATTTAGAGCAGTTTGCTGCCATAAAGTTTTGCATATTGTTCTGCATCCTCATAAATTTGGTATTGGTGATTCATGTACTCATCCTTTTCAAATGGTTTGAACTTCAATTATTTGCATATCACTAGTCTCATAGTTTTGCAGGTCCTGTTGTCATTTTATTACACTATCCATGTTATATTATTTGATTGTAGCTCTGTGCGTGAACCATTCATTGGAAGGTATGGAGTTTACAGCTGCACTATGTGACCTTAGGCTTCATTAATTTATTTTTTTCCCTTTTGTTATAAATGTAAATTAGATGGCTTTATACTTAACTTGGCAGCAGCCAGCTAATTTTAGAGTGGAACATTTTTGAGATTTGATGAGGGTCAGCAATGCCGAATTTTAATGGACCCATTTGAGGCATTAAGATGGGGTTTGTATTCACATGAATCCTTTTTGTGCAGATTTGTGAAGGATGCTTTAGTTTATACTTGAGCATGCTAACAGTTATACAAATTGTAAAATTTTAAAAGCAATATTTGTGGAGGTACCATCTGATTACGGATATTGATGCTTCGTGGTTGTGGTATGACTTGGGGTTTTGAAATTTGATTAACATTTTATAGTTGTAGAAGTTTACATTTGTAGTTGTTCACAAACATGCACAGAGTTCAACCACATACTCTCACAGCTCCCTCTTGCATATGCTTGCACATGCCACTGCTTTAGTTTCCAACAACTGGGAAGCCCATGATGTTGATGAGTTTTGAATTATTTCTTAGATGTAGTCTTTTGTGATGCTAGATGACTATGGGTATTGAGTTGCCATAGGTTTAACATTTAGCTACGCTCATCTGAACAAAGTGCTAAGGCAGCTACATCATACTTGTTGTGAATTCAGGTGTTGATTTATCTGTTTTTTATCCTTTAATTCAGTCATTGGCATTTCTCAGGATTATAAACTTATTTTTGCATTTAGATATATGGTTTTTTTTATTGTTCCTGTAATGTGGATTGGCAATATATTTTATGTTGCCTGCTAATTATATGAATTTAACCTGTGGCATTTAGGAATGCTATTTCTCTCTTATTTCAGCCTTCAATGCAGGTTGGGAGTAATTTCTGAGCAGCTAGCGAGGTAAAGAAGTGCTGTTTATATGGTATGATAGGAAGCATTTAAGAGGCCCATGTAGTGATTCCTGTAATTAGAGTAGAGCGATATGTCCTGTACTTGAAGGGCAATTTACACTTAATTTGCATTTCTTCATGCAGGATTGTTTTTATAGTATTAGATGCATTCATAATTATCAGAGCTGTGTTACTTTATTGTTGCTTTTGCGGGACCACCTGCATGCATAATTCAATTTAATTTGCTTGATTTACTGTTCTGAGATATAATTTGTTCTGAGTAATCCAACTTGTGTTACTTTACTTGATTTGGTGTCCTACGTTGTTCTTGGATGATCTCCTTCATGTGCATGCTGAAGTCTCCCTTTTCTCAGATTTATTTTTGTATATTTGTTTTGCAATCAAGATATAGAAAAGTCTTACTGGTGCCAAATTACGAAAGAAAGTTTTTGTGTTGTGAATGATCTGTAAATTGTCTATGCCAACTGGCTTTTGAATCTCAGTTGGGGGGTAAATGGATTATTGGATCTGTATAGATATGCATTGGTGGTGCTGGTGTGTAGTTTTTTCATTGTTGGTTTTATGCTTCCATTTCTTTATTTTTTTTTTTCCCTTTTTTGCGATAGAAGTCTGGAGTTGTTGAATAGATACTAGGTAGTGTTGACATGAGCTACAAAGTGTGCGCCGTATCTAGTTCACCATGAGTTACTGTGTGATAATCTCTATGCATTATTCTTCATAGCAGCTAGTCAGTTTATAGATATTCCATTTTATTTTATCATTTTTTTGTGGCTAATTTATCTTGTATTAGCCACTGTGTGAAGGTGATTCTCTTTTCTTTTTCTATTCGGAGCATATGCATTTCTACTGTTTGTTTTTGCATGTGATCCAAGCCAACTCGTGTTATATCATATCTACATGTGATTGTGTTGAGTCATATTTTTAAGCTGTATGGGGTGAGTCCCAACTATTTTACCATCCTTAGCAGTGGAATAATCTTTCTGCATTACTCTCTTGATTTGCACAAGAAAGAAAAATGGTGCTTTATGCCTCCTGTGGTCTACTCATTTAATTCTATGCAATCTTGAGAGTTTCATGGTGTTGAGTCATACCTTTATGCTTTAAACTGTGTCCTTTTTATAATTTTAACATAATTTTCTATTTCTTTCATCATTTTTGTTTTGTGAGGCAAACTTTTCATGCATTACCCACTATTTGTGATTTTTTTTTTTTTTCATTTTCCTTTCTATGTCCATAATGGGTATTTTGAGGAAAGTGAATTGGGGCTTGAATTTTGTATAGGACTGAGCTCAATCAACATTCATGTTTAACTGTTTTGACTTGGGCATTCTTAGTGTTTTGTTTTGTGTGGAATTCAAATGAACTTGTCTCCTTTTTTTTATTTTTTTATGGAACGATGTTGGAAGACTGAATTGTGACTATAAATTGTTTTGGCCATCCTATTGGGTGGTGAAGCTAGTTAATGAGTCTGTAGTTAACAGCAATACCCCTTTTTGTAGGTGATAGGATTATGTGGAAGAGTGTGGTTTTCTACACTTGCATGCTAAAAGACTTGAATTTTGATTTACTGATTTAAGATTTTAGTTTCAATTACTTTCTAGGTGATACACGATCTTATCTTTTTATCTGCTTTCATGTATGGCAGAAAGCTATTATTAGTTTATGGTAATGAGTTTAATTTATTTTTCCTTGTGCAGCTGAGAAATCTGTTGTGGGCTACATCAAAGCACGATGTGTACCTCATGCAAAATTACTCAGTAATGCATTGGTCATCACTGCTACGCAAAAGCAAAGAAGTGCTGAATGTGGCTAAGCCAATTGTTCCCAGCCTGGTTAGTTGGAATGGCCTTGATAAAATTTGAATTTCGCTGTTAACTTTGTTCGGAGGGTCCTTGAGTTAAATTCTTTCTTTTGATTTTTTTGTAGAAACGTCATGGATTGCTATCTCAACAACTCTTGAGGGTGCAGATTAGCACTATGGCAGTTAAAGAAAATTTAATGGTGGCAGGTGGTTTTCAGGGGGAGCTTATTTGCAAGGTACGTGTTTGGCTTACAGAGGTTTATTGATTTGATATCTTATTTGCTATTTGGCTCATTTTGTTATTTATTCTTCTGCTTGTTCAGTATTTAAATCAACCCAGGGTGGCATTCTGTGCAAAATTAACTACCGATGATAATGCAATCACCAATGCGGTGGATGTGTACGGTGATCCTAGGTGAGAAATACTTCTCTTAGGAGTTTTGGGCAATTTTGATGACATTCTGAAAGGCAAGCAACTGAAAACTTTTATATCCTCAGTGGTGCAATGAGAGTTATGGCTGCAAATAATGATGCTCAAATCAGAATATTTGATGCTGAAACTTTTGCTAGCCTTAATTGCTTCTCATTCGACTGGTCTGTAAATGTAAGTGCTAGTCTTCAGGAGCCTGCTTTCGAAGTTCTACCTGTCATCATTTGTAAGTACTGATTGCCTCTATGGTTGTGTGCTCTTTCCAGAATACCTCTGTAAGTCCAGATGGCAAGTTCCTTGCGGTCCTTGGAGATAGTGTGGAGTGCCTGATTGCTGATGCTCAGTCTGGCAAAGTATGTCACTCTTGCTCAGTCTCCAGATAATTTGTGCATTTGGATGTTTATATCTAATTTTATTTGCATGATGCAGGTCACCAGCAGCCTAAAAGGTCATTTGGATTATTCTTTTGCTTCAGCTTGGCACCCTGATGGGCACATTCTGGCAACTGGGAATCAGGACACCACATGCAGATTGTGGGACACAAGAAACTTATCCAAGTCCCTTGCTATATTGAAGGGAAGAATGGGAGCAATTAGAGCTGTCAAGTTCACATCAGATGGTCGGTTTCTGGCCATGGCTGAGCCAGCTGATTTCGTCCACGTCTTTGATACAAATTCAGGTTATGTTAATTGCCAAGAAATCGATCTTTTTGGTGAGATTGCTGGAATATCCTTTAGCCCAGATACAGAATCTCTCTTCGTTGGGGTCGCTGATCGAACTTATGGCAGCTTGTTGGAGTTCAACCGCAGGCGGTATAACCAGTACTTAGATTCCATCTTGTAAATCCCCCAGTATCTATTAGAGGCAGATTATTGTAAATATTTTAGGGGTAGTTTCAAGATTGCCTGGATAGCTGTGTACTAGCATATAATATACCTTTCCGGGCGAGAGGGAGCAGATTTAGTTTAAATTGTTGCCTCAGTAAGTTGTTTCTGTGAAGTTGAATTTTTTTACCGACACAAACGAATGAAATTTTTTGCTTTTGTAAAGCTGCTGGCAGTCGTATGTTTATCTTCAATACTTCTTCCTTTCGGGCCGCCAAGAAATACTCTGATGTAGTTCAATTTGTATCCTTTGCCGATAAAGTGAAATAAGTTTCCAAGTTCAAAACAAACCACAAACAGAAAAACGGCAAGCAAATGTTTCTTCTCTTTTTTTTCTCTATGGAGCAGGACGGCTTCAAATTATTTTATTAGGTATCGGTCAAAATGTCGCGCTAAAACTTGGTTCCAATTTTTTGACCAAAGTTAAATGTTTTACTGCTATCTTTCTAACATCCGCTGTCGTGCGACTATAATTCGAGATTTGCCTTAAACCCGTATTAAAGGCTGATTTTCATCTTCTTTCAAAGAGATACAAACGGCAAACAATAAAAATTAACAATGTTTGATTATGGATTGTGATTTTTATTTAGAATATAATAATTTGTATAAATGGACGGTAAAGGCGAGGAGTAAGTCCAATCGATTGGTGCAGGAAATTGACGGTGACCACTGCTGTCGGCAAGATATAATTTGTGTAGTAAAGATTAGAGGCCTCAACTGATTGTTTCATGCATGAAGCATCCCCTTTGACATAGACCTTACATCCCTTATGATATACATAGGTCCGTATCAATCATCCATTTGTTTGATGCCACTCTTGGCTATTTATACCCATTGTTATGGAATATCAAATATGGACATTGTTGCGGCTTTGTTGTGGTTCCTCCTTCACACGAAAAAATATTAAAATTGGTCACTTTCGCTTCGGCAAAAGCTAAATGCTAAACTAGATCATTCTCATAATTAATCAGCATAGGTTTTTCGTGCAAGAATGGAGTTTGCCGACGCTCAATATTATCAATTCACGCTAATCAACTAATTGGGCACGTTACCTCATGCACCATTTCTGGAGATATAGCTTTAGTCACTGAAATCAAATGCTATCCCAAGAGCCTAAATGACAGCATATGGATGGAAAATCTTATCCCAATCTATCATTATGATTTGTGAATGTGATGGTAATTAATCACATTGGTTTAAAACAAATTAGTCCACCATTATGGATAGCCACTTGACGTGTTACTTTTCGACTCTAGCATGCAACTTGCCCTTGGCCTGGGGCTACTAAGTATTGGGTAGCAGATAATAAGGGGAGAAGAAAAGCTTTTAAGTTAATGAGGGAATTATCAAAGAATCAACCTCCTTGATTTCGACTTTCATCTTCAAGGTCAAAATTCAAATGCACACGGGAAGAACTATGCAATGGAATTAAGCTCCTTTTGAACAACTAGTAGAAATTAGAAATTTCTTTTCAGACTGGATTTTCAATATTTTGTTCATGGACAAAACTTGTGAACATGGTTGAGAGGGGCTTTTTCTAATATGATTAAGTGTTTCTCTTTTGATTTATAAATTTTGAAGATAGATTAAGGCATCCACTGACCAATAACTTACTTTCATAAGACGTGGGAGGCTTATTACCTATGATTTGAAATTAATTATTTAATTGGATAAAATTTATATAAAACTTTTTTGGTGAAGTTTGTAAATTTTTTTTAAAAAATAATTTTATAAAAAATTTAAATTTATAGATTTATAGAGTTTAATGTGAAATCAATAATATGTAAACAAAATTATTAAAAATATTGTTTATAATTTAAATTTGATCGATATTTATTTAATAGTAAAAAAATTGTCAAATATTTTTATTAAAAATATCTATCTAAAAAACATATCAAAATTTATTAAAATTTTTTCAAAATTTTTATACTTGATTTATGTAATGAAAATTTTTAATCTATTGACTTTTAATTTTAATTTTAATTTTGATTTATTTGTTTCTAATAAAAAATTTCATCTAAGTCGTTATATTATCTAATTAGTAAATTTTACAATCTAATTTTTTAGTACAAAAAAATTATAACCTAAAAAATAAAATAAAAAATTATAGACGTTAAAATTTAAACTTGAAATTTATTAAATATTGTTTAATAAAAATATTTATATAAATAAATTGAATTAAAATTAAAATTTAATTTAACAATCTAAATTAAATATGCTCACATTATTATCCGATCCCTCGACATTAAGAGTTATTATAAACTAAAAGTCTAAATTGGCTTCCGCTCAGCCTTATTGCGACTCCTTTTTTTTCCATGACAAGCAGATGAAACTTTAATTTTCATAGTATCTGCTTTGAAAATATAAACCCAATTGTTCCACTTGAAGATTAGACGGCATCTAATTGTCCCACTTGAAACTTGAATTGAACTCATAAAGCGACCTTCCAAACCTAATAAATTAGCCCTCCACCATAGTTGGGGCGACCAACTATGTTTTCATCCATGAAAATGAACTGAAAGTAACAAGTTTGAAATATTTATAGCCTGTAGAAGATCGGCCCATGTGTAGGCGTTTCAGCATGGGCATGGGCGATTGGATTGACTCAGTGGCTCAAGGCCCACATCCCAACAGCGACCTAACACTAACATTGATTAAATTAAATAAAATGAAAATGTGGCAGACTATAATTCATGCATTCCAAGTTTCCAACAAATTATGGACCCGTAAATTTATTTATTTTTCTTCGTGAGGTAGTTTGAACAATAGTTTATGTCGGATTAAGAATTTTGTCACCACCAAAGATTTTGACACAACTAGAAGAAACAATTTGCGTTGATGTATCAACTTCAAGAACAAAGATTCTCCTTCAATACAAATGCCTGTTTGCGTAGGGAAATCATAAGGAAAATTGTAGTAATTTGAGGGTTGCCATGTGCAGTTTCGTGAAGAAGTTAAATTGTGGAAAATCCCCCACTAAATCAGTTGAAAAATATAACTACATGAAATTCCAATGAAAATGACAAGAGTTTCACTGTCTTCCAGAAATTCGTAGTCGGTAACGTTAAGAAATATATATATATACATACACACACTCATGTAAGAGCTGCTTTGACAGCTTTCTTGTGTTTCTTAACTCAATTTTATGGACATGAAGGAAGGTTTTCACGAATGTTTTAATCAGTTTGAAACTTGAATAAAAATCTTTAATTTACGGGGTACCGTCTAGGTTGCAGCCATGTGTTTTGCTCCCTCGACGATCTGACCTAACTCAATGATTACCACCTTCGATCGATATGGTGCTGAGCTATTCTTTGTTAAGAAAATGAAATCGATTTGATGAAACGGAAATATGTGGCTAGCTGATTAATTACTAACATAATATTTAAAATTTTTAAAGTTGTTAAATATCAAACTCTAGCTACTAAAATTAAAAATATAGTATTCTATCAGCAAATCATATAATTATTGTTCTTAATTAATTTTGAGTTGTTCAATTCGAAACAGCTCAAAAACCCAGTTCATGGCTGTTCACGTTCAACGCCAAGTTGCAACTCCTTCAACGCCAAGTTGCAACTCCATATCCTCCTCAGAGTACTACGTACTTCATCAGCAAAACACATGGCCCTTACATCATAATCACATCCGACAACCAAAGCATTGTTGCGCCTGAAGCAATAATTACAACAATACAGAAGCAATAGACAACAATCAATAATCAAATGCGCAGGAAAAATAAAGCACACCAAGATTTACGTGGAAAACCCTCCAGTGTAGAGGAAAAAATCACGGGCCACCAGAAAAATCTTCACTATCAAATAATAGTTATACAAAGTTCTTCTCTAGCTAAAACTAGAGCTAATCAACAACTAGAGAAACAATTGGAGAAATCTCACTAAATAAGTGACTCAACAAATACACCATGGATTTGTTCCTAGAGAGCTTCAAACCCGATCTTCACCGTTCAGAATGTATAACTCTGAATCATAAACCTCCTGACAAGGTTCCAACTCAATCGGACCACGGATCGACTTCCGTTTAACCAACTCTCCCTTCTCTTTTTTCTCTCTCTGCTTTTCCTGGCTTTTCTTCTTTTTCTGCTTGGTTGTCGACACACACATAAAACAACCCCACCTCTTTTTTATTAAGTAGCTAGGGCTCTGTGTAAAATAAAAGATCAAGGCCCATCGCCTTTACTTGGTCCAAAACCACTTACATGGGACTGGACCCCATTTTCCTAACAATCTCCCCCTCCAGCCCCATTAGGAGGAGATTCATCACCATAGCAGTTTCATTTGGAACTTACCTTGGCCAGGGAACTCATTCCGGCCAAGTTACTGCAAAGCTCAAGCTTTTCCCTGAGAAGTATCTTAGTCAACATATCTGCCACATTTTTATCAGTATGGACTTTCTTCAATAGCATCTGCTGTTCTTCAATCACTGAACGTAACCAATGATATCTAACATCAATGTGCTTTGTTCTAGCATGGTACATGGTATTCTTACTCAAATCTAAAGCACTCTGGCTATCACAAAATACCACATACTCTTTCTGATTCAACCCTAATTCAAGAAGAAAACGTTTCATCCAAAGCATTTCTTTACATGCTTCAGTTGCTGCAATATACTCAGCCTCTGTAGTTGACAAAGCAACACACTTCTGCAACTTAGACTGTCAAGATACAGCTCCTCCTGCAAAAGTGAAAAAATACCCTGAAGTAGATTTCCTACCATCAAGATCGCATGCCATGTCAGCATCAGTAAACCCTTCTAGAACTGGTTGTGAAACTCCATAAGTCAAGCACATTTTTGAGGTACCCCTCAAATATCTAAAAATCCATTTCACTGCTTCCCAGTGAACCTTTCCTGGATTAGAAAGAAATCTGCTCACTACACCAACTGCATGAGCAATGTCAGGCCTTGTACAAACCATAAGATACATTAAAGAACCGACTGCAGAAGAATAAGGAATACTAGACATAGCTAGTTGCTCTTCCTTAGACACTGGACAAGATTTCTTACTTAGGTGAAAATGGTTGGCAAGTGAACTACTAACTGATTTAGCATGTTGCATGTTGAATCTACCAAGCACTCGTTCAACATACTTTTCCTGTGACAACCACAGCTTTCCAGCTCTCCTATCCCGGATAATGTCCATACCAAGAATCTGCTTTGCTGGACCTAAATCTTTCATATCAAAAGACTTAGACAATTGTTCTTTCAACCTGCAAACCATACTAGCATCTTGTCCTACAATCAACATATCATCAACATATAATAATAGGATAATGAAGTTACCATTAGGGAATTGTTTAATATACACACAAGAATCCGCTGCTGTTCTTTTATAGCTATGACTCACCATAAAAGAATCAAACTTTTTGTACCACTGTCGCGGAGCTTGTTTCAAGCCATACAAGCTTTTCTTCAATTTGCAAACTAAGTGCTCTTTCCCTTTCACTTCAAAACCCTCAGGCTGATTCATATAAATATCCTCCTGCAAATC